AATACTTTTCCACGAAGTATCGGTAATGCACGCGCTTGCAGAACGAAACTATAACGAGCGACCGCGAGTTAATTAACTTGCGTCGTGCGTTTCTCAAAATTACATTCAGGTCCGCATTAATTTTCGTCATCGTGTCGCGTCAAACGTACTCGGGAATTGTTTCCCGTGTAATTAATACTTTTATTTACTTGTGTATATCACAATTTTGTAATATATTTGTATAAAAACTATTGAAATCGGTGCTCTTACATCGATCACTCAATTAATGTATTCGCTTGTAATGCGCCAGCGTGATGTGGAGGGAACTGTTGTGTTTAACAGATTAAATCACACCCTGAAAACAATATTAAATGTTACTGAAAATACCGATATCCGTTAAATGTAATCCTATTTTACATTACATTTAACGCAACAAAACTGTACGTATCGACAGTCTGCTGAAAACACATCGCGCTTGCGAAGTGTCGTAACAATATACTTTAAATCGGAAACAAACCAGTAATTGCATACTTTAACACAAACATTGGATTTATTCGTAATCCGTTTTGCTTATCGATTACATAAATTTTGTTACGCAATAATGACAACTTCGTGTATTTCGTGTATTAATTAATTAACAAACAACTGCCAGTTATCACAAATGTCGAAATGTGCAATTGTGTTGCAAAAAACAGTATCAAACTAAGCTGTATAAGATGTATCGTGCAAATCCTCTTTTAGGAACACTCCTTCGGGATTTCATGTTACGAAGAAAATTAATGTACTGATAAATGAGGAGCATAAATGAGCTGGAGAATTAATTTTTTTTCAATCGGTTTTCTCTTCATCTTGTTTTAAGATGATGAAGATTGCTAGATTACAAATTAACTGATAAATCACGGCTGCACAACTCGGATTGTAAATATTTTATGTAACTCTTCACGAGATTAAACGCTCTTCTTTCCCACGAGACGTTAAGAGCTGACGAAACGAACTTCGAAGTCGGTTATTGCTGTGAAATAGTGAAGAAAAAAAAGAGCCCAATCAAAATTGCGGAGAGAATAGTCACTTGTGAATTACAAAGGAATATTTTTATTCAAAGCTTTTTGCGATTTTAAAAATTTCTTTGACAAAGTAAATTTCTTGATAGTTTTGTTTGTTGACTGTATATACATATTTTTGGCACTTGATTGGAAAATATAAATTAATTAAGTCAAATAATTTTGAGAATATATATAATTATATTATTTAAAACAAAATATTTCGTATAATATATTAAAATTCATAAATTACATAAGTTTTTACATTTATTACTTATTATTAATATACTACAAAAATTAAACATTAAAGTTAAAACATTTTACCAATATTTATATAAAACATTAAAAATAATATTGCTACAGATATAAAAATAAAATGTTATAAAATATTAATTAAATTTAAGAAATTAATTCAATTTTTACTATATATGAGAAGAAAAGTACGGTTTTGAAATTTTAAAGTATTCGGTTCAATTAAAATTATAAAAGAGCAAGTAGAAAAAGACGAGTCACGCCAGCTCTTTGCGTCACACCGAGAGTCGCATTACCACACTGGTGAACTTTGAAAGCAATTATTCCGGCAAGATATTACAAGGATAAAAAGATATCTGAAGCAACAAAGGATTGTTAAGCGAGCTCGCGAATTGCAATAAGTGTTGTCTTCTCCTGGCGTTCTTCGAAACGCCCAAAAGTCGTTATGTTAACAGAAACTGTTGTGCTCTCTTATGGGAATTTATGATTCCCTTCTTCTTCTTCTATCTATGACGGTATATTACTCAGAAACTACATAGTTTCATTAAAACTTCACGCAGAAACTTTCAAGATATGATATTACTAAAATATGGCATTCGTCTTCGAAAAACCTTTAAAATACATTCCTGCAGTGTTTAATATTAACGTCTGTAATACACGACTGTAATGCTAAAAATTACACTTTTAAATTACACTTTTAATTACATTCTTAAAATTTGAAGCATTTCTCTTTTGCTAAGTATTAACCATCAATTCAAAACATTTTTGTGTATTTTCTATAAGACTGGAATTCGAAATCATAAAAGAATAACATTAATAATATAACTTTAAGTAATTTATTTTTAACAATTCCACTATTTTTAATAAGTTTTAGTGATTATTTTGTTAATTATATTTAATTTTTTTACAACGTAACGTTTCAGAAAGATGTTTTCAAACGCAAAAAAATTACAAAGTAATTTTTAATCAAAAATTATAACTGAAAAGGAGAAATTGTAATAAAATTTGCTAAGAAAATGTGAATTTAAAATATTCCTCTCTAAAATTTATTATACGTATGATATTGATACTCTCTTTATATAATATTTCACATATATGCAAGAAATATAATAAATATTTATACATTTTAACAAAGCAATAAATTTTGAATGGTAGATTCTCTTCGATTCTATGCAAGCAAGATATGTTCGAAACAATTAGGGGATTCGTTCCTGAAATTATCGTCTAAATTTACTCGCCTAATATTTGTCGATATCTTATGAAACGTACAAGTGCGCGCGGTATAGCTCGAGGTTCTAAGCAAGATTTAATAGGCTCGCGGGTAACACCTCGGGGGGCGACGTTTCATTTTCCAGCCGGCTCGGCTGATTCGATCGTGAAACGTGATTTTACAACACAGCGCTAACCCGCTGGCGTGTTTCCGTGATCTCAATGTAACTTCGCGGATTACCCCGCCAAGTCGCGTTTACATTGCGCGTTTACCTTCTGGCTACGTCATCCTGTTTTCCTGCGGGGCTCATTACTTCTCTTAAGCCCGACGCTCTCCGCGACGTCGGCGGTTTTGCAAATATCGCGGTTCGGATTAGGGGAGTCCAATTTCGAAGCTCGAACGCGATCTGGTGAGTGCTGGATTTTGCGCCAGATGCATTCGGCTAATCAATTGCAATTAACGGTGGTTTACCGGATAACAGCACTGCGTGTTCGAGAACGCCACTCACAGTGATACGTGTTGCGTAAGAAAGAAAACGAGCTGTCGAGGTTGCGTCAGAGCGACAGATTCTTTGATTTTTCTTGCTTTACTTTGCTAAATATTAACTTCATTATTTCCGATAACTTCTCGCTGAATAATTACTCGTATTTGATGGCATAATAATTGATGCTTTTTAAACATAATTATGAGCATCCACTTTGGCTTATAAAATATTTTGATTTTGTGCATGAGTGAGTATAATGAGGAATATATTTTTTTAATATAATGCACGTAATACATCTCACAAGCTATTGACAATTATGATAATAATTGCGCAACAATTTTAACGATCAACTTAAAATTGATTTTTCTTAACCTGAAAAAATTAGTAATTTTTAGTTGTCCAAAAATCTCTCGAAAGTTTTTCTAAAGAAAAATCCTCTGTAAAATTGTCAAAAAATGTTTCTTTAAAACTAGACACGCAGATTCTGCGATACTCTGTATGCAACGCAATATGCATATGCAATTTACGTAATGCAATATATGACATGAATGTCACACTGACTACCCGCTACCCAGCATCCAATTCAAAGAATATCTGTCGAGTAAACCGCAAGAATATCCGGTTCTAGGACGATTCGCGAGATTGTTCATCAGACACAATCGCGGTCCTAATTGCATCGCTCGTCCGATTTATTGTTCGCGTGTATGTATTTTGCGTCGTCACGCAGTACCGCAGCGGAAATGCAGCTGGTCGCGGATTAATTTGCCCAACCCCTCGGCCCTTTACCGGCTTTCCTCCTCCAGCTCGGCTCTCAATCGCAGGAGCCCGGCGTTTCAAATGAGATTCGGTTAATGTGCGGCTCACGAGGTAATGGACAAATGCCCCCAACCGACCAGAAAGAGCTGGCGAGAGCTAGCCCCAAGTCACCCCGAATCTCGTAATTACGCTCCGCCAAGTCCACTTTATGTCTTTTGGTCCCTCTCGGATCATGGCGGTTACTTTTGAACGAACCGCAGAATGTTACCAGGATATTCCGTTTACGAGATTTGAGTTTCCGTAGCATTTATAGAGCGTCATAATATAATAACTTTTGGTAAGATTAATTAATAATTATGACTATAAATACTGTATCGCTTTTCGTAAAAAAAAAGTTTTTTGACAAAAAAAATTAGTAACTCTTATTTTTTTAATAATACGATATTTATTAAAAGTATTACTGTCATTTTTCTCGAATTTTATAATTATTATTAGAACACAAAAATTCGTGATTTATAAATCATTCTAATATATAAAATATACATACTCGGAAAAAAAATTGCTGTTGCCACAACCTAATAATTGTGATAATTTTCGCCCATCAATATAGAAGAGTTATAGAAACTAAAATATTTTGGAAGTGATTTATATAGTTAACTGAACTCTCAGTCTCAAA